GATAGCCTCGATAGCCGTGTTAGATGAATCAACAGAAGTGCTGAGATGAAGCTTTACACCCAGAAACACTAACGTAACGGCGTTTGTAACAGCCACCTTGATTTTTTAAACAGTTCACTTGCCTTTGGAGTCAAGTTTAGTGTTTAGCACTTAACCTTCAGAACACCCTTCAGCGCAGTTAGATTACGAGTACACTGTAATAAACTATGTATCCTAGAAATAATCTCATGGCAGCTGCTGTCGGGGAGCTGTGTACCGCATGAACCTTTTCAGGTAAGAATTGAATACTGTGTTAGTCAGTCAGGGAGGGGACGTATATATGATACTTGATGAGATCGACTTGAGTGGTATGTTGTGACGATTACTGAATGTCCAGTGTATGTGATTACAGTCTCTTCATATGGACTAGCGGTCAGGGTTTGGTCGAGATATGAATGAGAGAGATCCAGTCCACTCAAATATCATGATTAGGTCATTCGAATATCTGCATGGAATCGCGCAGACCACAGGGCATATGAAGAAACTCAGGGAAAACCGAAAGGCCCAATGGCTATTGTATTTGAAAAATTTTCAGGGTAAACTAGGATCTGATCAATAGCAGTTGTCTGATCAAACCTACTGAATACGGATGTGCCTTTCAAAGAAGCAGCCAGAGTGTGAACTTGTGGAACTGTGTAGTGACTTGAGACTGTTTAGGTGTTGAACCTTTGGCAGTCATCCTATAGACTCAACTACATGCCATTGTTTCTGGGTAAAACAAGTAGCCGTGTAACTCGATGAAATAATGGGCGTCTGATCACCCCAACTCAAGCATGTGTTTAAGCTTAGCCTTTCTCAGATCAGAACCCTCACGGTTTAGCGAATTCAGGAGGACCGATCGCCGTGATGTGATTGGGTTTGGAAGTATCTAGAAAATTTCCGATGATGTAGGCCTAAAGACCGAAGTGTCGTGGTTGGAATGCACTGAGCTGAGAGATGGCTTCTGTGTGATAATACCAGAGACGGAGAGTTGTGTATTGAAGCTTTGATGGTTGACGGCATAGACATTCGCGAATTGTACGGAGTATATTAACGCAAGATCTTATACCAACAACTTCCTTATTATTTGTTTCTCGTGTACCAAAGGCAAAGCAAAAGACCACTATTGATCGTCCAAACTACGACATATATTTCTGAACCAAATCGCGGACTGAAGTCGAAGCTAAGCTGCTAGTTATCGGCCATGAAAGTGACACGACGGAGTACCAAATGGCGAGGACGCTTGACCGGAAGCCTTCAGCTAAACAAGTCGACTTAAACTCTAAGGGTCTGCATCCAATGTTCACTGATGATTCCTAAGGTCCCGATGTAATCCTTCTCTTAGACATAATCTATTCCTATGGTCAATAATTTTGGGGAATTATTTACCGCCACAATGCCAACCAGCGTATGCATACTAGCATCCACCATAATCTGATAATTCTGTAAAAGATCCACGTGAATAATGCAATCAGTCACATAGACTACGATTGAAACTCAGAGGAAAGAATGGAGAAGTTCAGTATTGAGGCGGCGAATCTACTTTCATTTATTGTGAAGGACAAACAGTTGGTGACACCATCCTCCGCTGGTGACAGGGTCAAGTTAGCTTTTTCAGGAGGTAGTTCGCCATGGACGTTAGTCGTCACCACGTGCCGGCCTAAACGTTTCTTGCCTGGTTTATGTCAGAGGTACAAGGATGAGTGAACTTCCGATCATCAGCACCATAATGTCTACGGTACTAGCAGAACGTGGTGAGGATCCGCTTCGAAGGCGACACGCATCATAATGGAACACTTTTCTAGGTGTATCTCTTCCCTAACACTAAGCAACTCCTTGTAAAGCTTAATTTCCACAGCCACCACGTTGATATCCCATTGGTTGGGGCAGGTTTTGTAATGGTCAGAACCAGTTGACAGTCCAGCCAACTGCATGGTCTGGTAGCCCCTAAAGCTCTGTCGGCTGCCTTTATAATTCTATTTAAGGTGAAATATGAAAAAGTGATAGGATTTCCGGAATCGTTTAAAGCAGTCTTCACAGCCACAGCTGTTTAAGAAAGGTACGGTCAATTAACTACTAGCTGTTCCACCTAGTGTAGCATATGGACAGGCCAACATTCACTAAAGTGAAAACACAGAAAGAGTCCTTGCACCTTTTTGGGTCCATAGGTGTAATTCTGTTAATTATGACTCCCTTCAGACGACTGCACGGTTTCGGGGAGTGATACCAAGGACATCGAAAGCTTCCTCAATTATGTTTTCAGGAAAATCATATTAATTAGGTGGACTTAGTTTCTTCCGGGTGAATAAACCTAGGGACGAACTGTTAGCCAGGAACAAAAAGGCCGGTTTTCCTAGGCATGTCGGTGCCTTTAGTCGTGAATCTAAACGCTTCAAAATGATTTTTGTCACGGGTGGTCAATTCAAAGCACAAATACTCATTTCCAGTCTACAGTTCCCTAGTTTGCCTATTCCGAAATTGGGCTGCTGAACCTCCCACAACAACAGCCGATTATAAAGCTAAAGAACATGGTTTCATAAAACCAGCTACTGGTTAACCTTCAGTTTGATATCAGCTCAGTCCAATCTGGACGGTGGGATGGTCTTAGACCAATGCATTTCATCAGACTTCTCAAACCGCTACATCAGCCTGTTGCCAAAAAATCCATGGTTCTATATCGACCGCCTATTATTCCAGTTAATCACGCGATACCAAAAGAAGCCCGAAACCACTCATCTGTTGTTCTTCTGGCATTGTAATGCTTTGCAGTTTGTCACACCTTGTCCATATAGAAGCAATCGATGCCAAGTGTTTAATAAATTCGATCAAAAGAACGGATTTTGGCAGCCGTACACGTGTCATCCACATTCACCATCCTCGAGAAACTGGAGCAGACACCGTTTCCAATCAATACGTAAATCTCTCATTCGGTAGCTGCTCCTTATTTCCAGCAACCTGTTCGCCAAAAAATTATCAGCGTCTGGGTGAAAAACCACTCAGTACAGCTACAGATTGACACAGCATCCGGTATCACCATTATACTCAAAAAACTCGGTTTAGAGATCGGACGACTACCTATTCAGAAGACATTATAACTGATAACAGTACATATGGTGAGTGGTTATCACTAAGAGGGAAGTTCTGTCTCACAATTTCTCTCCATAGCACCACTATGAATGTAGCTTGCTACCTCACTGATGTCACTATAAGTCTTCTGGCTCTTGATTAGTTCGACAGTCTTGGGTTATCAGACTAACTTATAAAATTCATTCGTAACCAAATCCAAAACTCGTATACGGTTTCTGATATCAGTCAACGTTCCCGAAATGTCTTTAAGCCCGGTTTTGATTGTGCCACAGCTTCTCACTCACTGATGGAGGGGGAAGCCACGGGGTGTACAAATTATTTTGATACAAAAACTATTTGGAGCTGAGTTGTTAGAACCCCCAAAATGCGTAGGGACACTTGTATTATTCGGAGACTACGGAGCAAAACAAAGTAAATGGACAGAAAGATTGGCCAATGATAGACGTAGTAATATCATGTATGATGTCAAAGTAAGACACAAGAACCAACTGAGACGGCAAATGCCTCTCGACAAAAAGATAACAACCAGAGGTTTCGCAGGAGGTATAATACTGAATACATTTGGAATACAATGCAAAAAGCCATGTTGCCTACTGACAACAATGAACCGTTCTGTCAAATCCGGTCAGCCAGACACAAGAAACAAACTGTGTGGTCCCAGGTAGACTCAAAGTAAAAATTCTTTTCTAATGGGGAAGATGACATGTGGATCGACAGCTTGTCTAGAAAATAATATGTATATATTTAAATTTGTCTCTCTGTGTAAACATACTTCTCCGACCCACCTCGTGTTCTCGACCAAGTAGTGGGCTAGGAAATTAAGTAGCCCTTGTCTAATGTTGGTGGCCAACAAGCGATACTCGTGATGACCGCGTCTGCTACTAGCTTTTGCGTCTCTAGCAATTCAACCAAACGTTGCGAAATTTGAAGCCGTCAATTCTAACTTCCGCGGATTCGTGGCTTTTAATGTCGCCGCCAGCCGATTTCGTTGGCGACTGTTTGTGCTCACACACCGAATCTGACGCCCCCCCATTAGCCAGTGGTATGATTTACGAAAAAAACACAAAGTAGGTCTCCTTCCTAGCTCATTTCTGACCTCCACCCTTAACCCCCATCATCCGATTGACAAATGACTTTCAGAAATACTACAGTCTATAGGGAGACAAATCTCTCCACATACTTCAGATGTACAATTTACATTCAATAGTGCTGCTAGAAGCTAAAATTCATTCTTGGGCTATTTATTGGATTCCATCCTAAAGGCTAAAGGGTCATCATGCTAAACAACGTATAACCTAAAGGCCCGGAGGTTCATCTATTCCCGTACTGTTAAGCATTTTGGAAAAGAAACAAACCACACATTTGTTCAGTAAATACACCCTAGTTTTCAATAGAATCGTCTAACTGGAGAGATATTAGTCAGTTAGTGATGAATAAATAAATCAGTTAGAAATGTATTAACTTCATTCTCAGGAATATATATATATAATTTTTTCTAAATATATATACAAATATACAATACAAAAGTTTATAACAATTCTTAACATGATGATGTATGTGGTATACACAACAGTCAGAACAGGAGAGAGAGAGAGAGAGGGATAGAATGAAAGCGAATGAACGCTGGCAAGTGAAAACACAAGAGACAAAATTATATTATAAAACTAAAGAAAACAATTGAACTTTGAACAATAATAATAATAACAAACTATATTATCATCATCGTCATCATCATCAGAGAAACAAGAAAAAAAAACTTATTTTCATCTAAATAATCTCAGGAAAGAAAGAAAACATAACGAAAACAAAACCAAAACAAACAAAATGTCGTGTGTCGTCTGTCTGTGTGTGTGTGTGTGTTTATATATTATGATGTGAAGAGAAGAAGAAGAAATTTAGTCATTTTCAATTAATTCTAAGTCAAGATCAATGAAAGAAGATGAAATCTGTTTACTACTGTTATCATTATTATTATCATTTCCACTAATATTATTATTATTGTCATTATTATTATTACTATTATTTGATTCATTAATTGGGAAATCAGAAAAAATACGTTGTCTATTGGGCATCTGAGGTGAAAGAATAGTCTCAATATCCTCAGATTCTCCCCCATCTGAGAAGTTTGAACCATCAATCGGTGAAGGCGTGAAAAGGATAACTTGTCGACCAGTAACATCATCTTCATCATGATGTCGATTGTGTACAGGAATTCCTGTTGATAGTAGTTGTTGTTGTTGTTGTGGTGGTGGTGGTGAAGGTGGACAAATCGGTGTAAATGTTATATCATGAATTGATGGAGGAGAGGTCAATGAAATTTCAGGATGATGCCAATTGACCTCGGATACATGATTACTACCACAAATACCACCTTCATCAATCATAGTTTCAGGTGTTTCATGTTCTTTTTCATCTTCAATCATTTCAGAAAGTTTACCCAACTCACTACATGTGTAACGATGAGCATGTTGATGTTGGTGATGATGATGATTATGAGGGAAGCTGTCGTCAAAGAATACACCGGATGAATATTCGCATTCTTGTCCATAATTAACAATATTACACGGCTGAAAGTATAGAAACAAAAAGAGGTACAGCAGTAAGTGAATTATGATTATTATTAAAATAAAAGATAATTCTCAAAAGGTTAGAGACGAAATAAATAACATAGAAGCACCATGACATATCTGGAAAACAGCAGCTTATTATCTAGAGCACAGTATGGCTTCCGAAGGAACCTCTCATGCCTGTCAAATCTCCTCACTGCAAGAGAAAGCTAGGTCAATTCAAGGGACAACAGAAGACCCGTTGACGTTGTCTTCATAGACTTCAGCAAAGCCTTTGATCAAGTACCTCAAAAAAAACTACTCATAAAGTTGGAAAATCTTAGTATCAAAGGAAGATCACTGAAATGGCTCAGTGAATTCCTCATAGATAGGAGGCAGAGGGTTAGGATCAACTCGAAACTCTCCTCTTGGACAGCAGTACGTAGCGGAGTGCCACAAGGCACGGTACTCTAACCTCTCCTATTTATTTTGTATATCAATGAGTTATCTCTGTTCATCGACTCCCCTATGGTCCTATATGCAGATGACTTAAAAATTTGGAGAGAGCTGAAGGGCAACAGTGACACGTTCACGTTGCAAGAGGACTTCAACAAATTGTCAGAGCGGTCCATAGAATGGATGCTCCCGATCAATGTGGCAAGATGTGCAACCATGCGCATTGGACAAGCAAGCACAAGCTCCTACGAATTAGAGGGAATAATACTTCCATCAGTTCAGACTCACTTGAACTTAGGTGTCATAGTTAGCCACGACTTAAAAACTACAGCACACTGTCGCGCGGTGGCTGCACGTAGTTTCAGGTCCTTATGGGCAATTCGGAGAGCTTTCACTAGAATCACCAGAGATATGTTCACCTCCTTATATACATCTCTGGTGAGGTCAAGACTGGAAAACTGAATCCAGGCCGCCAGTCCTTGTCCAAAAGGGGACTCACACATTCTAGAGAGGGCTCAAAGGAAGGCAACATGTATGGTTCTCGGCATGATTAACTTATCATACGAGGAAAGACTAGGAAGTTTAAATCTCTTCCCCCTATCATACCGTAGGCAGAGAGGAGATTTAATCACAATGCTTAAAATTTTAAATAATGACTATGGACCTAACCTATTCTCTCTTTTCCTTCCCACCAGGTCGGACATAGCAGGAGAGTTCAAAAGCCAAGAATAAAACATATTGCCGTTGAGTACTGGTTCTCACACCGAGTCATAAACTCTTGGAACCGACTCCAGAAGAAGTGGTGTCTGCAACCTCAATTGATTCGTTCAAGAAGGTTTCGGACAACCACAGAAATCTACCAGAAAAGGATTAACATAGACTCCAAGCCTTCTATCCTCAACCAATAAATCTGAATCTAAATATGGAAGTAAAATTCCAAACAAATCAATAAAAAATAATAATTGATTTCAAGATTCATCATTGAAACTGACTTCAGTTAGAGAACCACTGAAAACTAGCAGGGATTACTGGATAGCCGTTTTGTCTCTGCTTGGGACTCCTCAGAAGCACATACCTACTACTACTACCCTATCACAAGGGATCGAAGGCATGACTTTCAGGTTACCAGATGAGATCATTGACCATTCACAATCTCTTGGATGAAATCCCATTGGCACTATCCATTAGTCCTAACATCTGCCTATACGCGATAAATAGCACAAAAACCGACAGTCAGCGTCATCAGAGAGTGTACTTGTCTTGCCTAGTACTCCTTGCTGGTTCTCAATAGTTCTGTAACTGAAGTCAGCTTTAGTGATCAGTCTTTAAATCAACCAAATCCTTGCAAAATAAACATTTGAAAAACCACCTAACGTAATTAGAAGCACTAGGCGTAGTAAACACGTGTTGCGTGTTCTTAGATTTCTTTTGAAGACGTACATGGCGAAGGATGGTGGTAATTGATTATTCCAACATATCATACTGGTACTGTGGCATGTGCTACTGACAAGTCATATCAGTAGTATGTAAAAAGACGTTTATAGTCAATCAATTTCAAATAGTGGAGAGATAGACGTGACGTCAGAGAGAGAGAGAGAGAGCAAATGAACCAGTGTTACAGCGAAACATAGCAGACGTGAAAAGAAGACAAAGAGACATAATACGAAGGTTAGAAGTAGTCCACCACTGAAAATTCGTGCGAATAACGATTTTCATTTAAACTGTACATAATTTCTCTACATAGAGACATCAAATTACAAATAAACATTCCTTTACCAAGTCTCTTGCAGTCTACTGTTACCCTACTACTCATTTAAGTAGGCATTACTACTATTAGACTAAAAGCTTTAAAAAGTGTGTGATAAACTTAGCAATAAAAACTTACATTACACTTGATCGTATCTTCATGTGATCCAATATGACATGGATTGATTAACTCCATAGGACAATAATCATGCATCGTTTCTGTATTATTATTATTGTTACTATTACTATCATTATAATCAACATTTATAGGAGGCATTGTATTCGAATGTGTACAACGTTTAATTAACGTTGAAGTATTCTGTTCATCATCTGCATTACCATCACCATGACCATCAGTGTTATTGATGAAATCAGCTTCAATAAGTGTTGGATCATCTTGATGAACACATGTTTCAGGCATACATAAATGTCTCGATGAATATGAAGAAGATGTAGACGAGTAGATTGATGTCGTTGGATAGTGTTCCGAAAAAGAAAATAGTGAATGTTGTAATTCATGACAAGAACAACAAACTGTTGTAGATAGTCTACAATTACTACTAGGATGATTATTGTTGTCATTTAGTGTTGTATTCAACAGTGCTGAAGATATATTACGTAAGTGATCATCATTATTATTGTTGTGCACTTGATCTGTACTTCTCTTCCAATAGTAACATCCACATGGGAATATATCATCGTGGATTTGTTCTTTGTCTTCTTCATGTGAATTATTATAATTATTATTATCATGTAATTCATCAAAGCATTCAGTACATTCACCGCTTGGTCCACGTCTACGTTTCAATCCGGTTGTTGTCATGGCACTGGAAGGCGTTGACTGGTTGGTGTTGTTATTGTTATTACCATTATTACTACTGATATTATTATTATTAGTAGTATTTGCAGTAGTCGGAGTTAGACTTGTACAAGCTAAAGGTGTACATAGTGATCGATAATTATTCTGTTTACTAACATGACCGTCATTATTATTACTATTATTGGAACAGTGAATTAAATGTTTACAATTCATATTATCATAGATTGTATTATCATTTGGTTGAGAACAACATCGTAGGGTACATTTCATTGATTGCAAAGAACAACTACTACTATTACTATCATTACTACTGTGACTACTATTACTTCCACTACTACTGATATTTCTCATTGTCTGATGTAATTCTTCATGATTATTTTTATTATTATCATTATTCATATTGAATTCATTCTCTTCTAATTTGAAACATGGTTCTAAATCAGTTAATTGATTTGATGAATGAGTATAAAGATTTGATGAGAATTTCTTATCATCATCAATTGACATTTTCCCGTGATTCTTTCTACCACTATGATGATGATGATGGTGGTGGTGATGGTGACGATGATGATGGTCATGATGCGCATGATGATGAGGGTGATGATGAAGATGGAGATGGGGTCGTTGATGTTGATGACATTGGCAATGACAATAACTTGTATGTGGCATAGAATCTGATGGTACACCAAACTATATTAAGAGATAAATGGAAACAAATTATTTAAGGCAAATCATAATCAATTTTGTGTATCCAATACGGATAATAATAAAAAATCTAAAAGAAAAACTATCTAAGTTTATGTGATAAAATTTAAACAAGTGATTATGATTACTGTCAGGACAGACAAACTTCTTCTTATTATTATTGTTCCCTTAGGTTCCTAGTGGAACATAGGACTTCAACTGCACGTCTCCACTTGCCACTTCTGTCTTCCTCCTGCTGTACTTTTCACCTGCATCCATCTTAGTCCATACTGTTTCAACTCCTCTTCACACGATCTCCTCCATGTCACCCTTGCACCGACGACCCAGTCGCCGCTTCCCTTTCGGCCTAGTTCCACTCGAGCAATGGCCTGACGGGCGCGCACGATGTCACCCAGCGGCCTCCTCAGCTAGTGTCCATACCCACCCATCTCCACTTCCTCCTGCATATTTCTTGGGCGATTGCTTCTTGTTTTGTTTGTTCCCATAGCCTCCAATAGTTGGTGATTCTTTCCGGCCCCGCCATCTGATTGATCTTCAGTATAGAGCGAAGACAGCTAGTTGTTGATAAAGGTCTGCAACAGGATGTTGGAAATATTCATTGTGACCTGCCCGCCAAGTTTCTGACCCGTACAGAAGAGCTGACTGAATTGACGCTGTTTGTATTGAAAACCCGATCGAATTTTGTTGTTGATGCTGGCTGAGTGACGGAGATTTACAGAATGGTTTCAGGTTGATGAATGTGTTTCTCACTCGCCTTCCCGATTCTCGCTCGATTTGATATCCTCGTCCATTCCGACTTCCTGTAGTTGAGACAATGCTCCCTAGCTGGATAGGTGAATGAAGTAACCTCTTTCAAATCCCTCCCGTTGATGGTGATTGACGTTGGATGTTTTTGCTGTTGTTGTTAGTTGGTTATTTTCATCACCTCCGTCTTGTCTATGTTCACCTGGAGTCCTGTCTTCTCTGGCTGCTTCTTCTCCCAGTTTGTCGGTTTTCGCTTGCAAGTCTTCTATTTTGTATGACATCAAACATAAATCATCCACGGGCGGAATCCAGATCTTCTAGGTTCTTCACGTTGGTCCAGGATATCCCTGTCTTCTCGTTTCCCACTGTCTGACGCATAGTGGGAAACGAGCAGACAAACTCCTTAGTCAGCTATAAAGTCATGATTTATCCATGCGCTGATGTCATGGCCTGATTAGGCAGTTTCTGATTCGTCTGTTTATGGCTTAATTTCTAAGGGATTAAGATGTCACACAATCAATCCGATTTATTTATTTATTCATTTATTTACGGGTTAAATTCTTGAGGTTTTTTAAACACGACATAGTAGGCACTTAGTTGAATAAACTTTGTCATGGTTGACTGACTTTTGTGTCTACCTCAGTGTAAGCAATAATTGATTCCAAGTGATCAGTTGGGGGAAGCATCGTGTTGTGGAGACGCATTCTAGTCAAGTTATAACGACAGAAGACAAGGGTCAGACAACAGATTGTCTATTGAGAAAATCAACAGATATTTATAGATTTTTATATACATTATTATTAGTGTTACTGTTAGCAGAGAAGCAACGTCTTCTGATTGGTTTTTTTTTCTTGCTGAAGGTTATTCTGTACTGCTTGTGACCGTTTCTTAGACAGTCAAACCGTATATCTGCGAATCGTATTTGTACACGTTAAGTCTTCTGAGATTGGTTGGTGACTCTCTCAATGTTAAGCTTTGTTATTGTTCCTTCTCATGACACCGATTCGGGACATAAATACTGACGTATATTGTTGTCTACAATTTTCGCTAGCAGACAGCTCTCACCGGATAATTTACCAAACTCACAACTTAGTGATCACTCCTTCATAACAATTACCTAACTGCTTAACACACAAGAAACAACTACCACTGTTCATTAGATCTTAGTTTCTCATACAATCGATTCTCTTGATTAGAAAACTAATAGATTTGCAGGATAAAAAGAGAGCTCATTTTGTTTAATTCAAAACTTTTCAGCAGCTGCTAACACATACTTTGGAATTATTCTAACTCAAAGGGCATAACTGTACAACAAGAGATATGATTTAATAAACAAATTCGATTGGTTGTTTGACTTCAAAAAATTAAGTTATAAACAAACAAATCAGAAAATGTCCAATCAACTTATCAAGGGTATGCATTCATGAATCACGACTTCATGGTTAACATAAAAGTTTGTCCATCTTAACGCCCCCCCCCCCCATTTTTATGTAATTGTGTTCTTTGGGCTGGATGGTTTATTTGCGAATCTTTTATTGCCCTACTAGTCAACATCTTCAGCGCATACTGTAATTTGAATTGAGAACGTGAGCTGCAACTCACAACTACTTCTATATTAGTTTGTTTATTAGATGCATCACACAGTGAAACAGCATTATTTGCTGGATGACGTTTCGAACCAAATTTATTGTTCATAATCATATCAATTGTAATCACACGACTTTGAAACTTGAGTTTTATAGTTTTCTTTCTTCTCTCCTATTTGTCGTATGGGCAGTAGAATTTTCCATATATCTGGGACAGGTGTTGAATCGTTTCTCTTACATGTATTTGCCGTTGATTCGATAAACAAAGCTTCTGTTATCAATCTCTCCCAATACTCTGTAACAGATTTTAAAACTGTCATCCTATCCCATCCTATTGTATGGTTGTGTGTAACTGCATGTAGTGCTATAGCTGAACTATTTTCTAGACTTCTTATCTTATTTGGGTCCTCTATCCAATATCCTCTATTTTTAAATAAGTCTCCGAATGGGGGACTTTTGGAAGATACTTTGAAGGCATGTGTACTCTCTGTCTATGATACCATGTGTTTTCGCTCTGGTTAATAGAATACTAACAAGATGGATAGTTCGTGGATGGAATCATTGTGGCGTATAGTAAGTATTCCAGATTCATGGTCATTGAAGCATGTATACCATTCTTACTAACAGGTAATATACGCCACTACATCCACTACACTTGCGTTTATTTTAATACATCAAATAAAAATTAGACATAGTACATAATACACCTAGTAAAAGTTTTCCCGTACAAACTATCGACTGATTCAACTTCTTGAAAAAACTGGTCTTAGTTAAAAGTTGAATTGAATATTATAAAAAATACTACTTAAATACCTTTCAGTAGTTCAAAAACTAACGTAAATAAATTTCATCCTGAATAGAGCAAAAAGAATATATTGAGAGGGATAAAACGATGTCGTTATATTTCGTTGGCTCTTGTCAGCTGCATACAACCATGAATAATTTAATATCAATATAAAAAGTATTCCGATACTGTAGTTATTGATCACAAAGATGGTGGATATCATTGTCACGTGATTAAGAATCATAATGGACAAGAATAAAAGTCGTTGTTAAGCTTGTTAGTATGTATAGAAATAATTTGCAAATATTATAGAATAAAGAAAGAATGTTAGGAATTGAACAGAGGCATAAAATCAATGCACTTAGGTAATGGTCAAATAATTTACTTCAGCAGAAGTCAAAAAAGAGTTTCGTAAGTAATATAGATAGAGGCAAAATTAGATTAGAAAATCACACTGTCAAAACAAAATATGATTAAAATAGAGAAGTTAACAAAACAATAAGATTGAGTAATGTATAATTAATAATGTAAGGCAAGACTGTCAACAGTCTCCTTCTGGATGCATAAATTTGGTTGCAATAATCGTTTAATGGTAACCGCCTAGACAATGCGTAACAGTAATCTGGAGCTGTCTCGAAGTTTAATTACCCTTAAAGGATTTTGATGTATTGATTTCATGACCACTGTATAACAGATGGTGAGCAGTGGTACTACTGAAGACTTTTACACCTCTCATATGTTATTTCCTTGAAATATTCTAAGATATGCGGTCCGATGTATATGCTTAACACGTACATGCTAATTGGTATATGCAGTTGTATGCAAACAAAGTGACGATTCAAATAATACATTCTTGTTCTGTGTTCTATTGTATCTTCTCGTAAATTCATGCTCTTGTTCCTCCTTATACTTTTACAAGATATCATGTCTCCCTTTCTCCTTCAGAATTTTAACTAATCGATTGGGAGTCAGCGATTGACAAAAGATAGTATTCATCGGCCTTTCACAGTGATACCTCCCCTCCTTTTTCATAGCTGAATGGTCAACTAGTACACCTCGTAAACCCTGAGGTCTTGGGTTCAATTCTCGGTGGAATCATTGGTGAGGACTTTTGAAGAGTCCTGAAATGGTACCAAACGGCTGTTCAATGCTCCCTGAGTTCCAGCATTTTCCCAACTGATGATGTTAATCCATGATTGGATTTGAAATTCTTATTTTACTTTTCGATTTGGCGCGATATGTACTACTGATATGTGTATGCCTGGTCAAACACACACATGTTCGACTACGAGACAATAAACTTTTTATATTGGTACGTGGTAATGAGAAATCTTTAAGAAGAGGAATTAAGCATACTAAGAATCACATACAGTATTGTAATTAAAATAACAAAGAAACAAAACAAATCCTTACTTACCCTTGAACAATCTGGTAAACTAGACGCTTCAGATAATCCCGAAAATGATGCTTCATGAAATCCAGATGAAGGAGTCCGAGCAGTCATTTGTACTGATGAGGAGATAGATCCACCAGTAGCAGGGGATAACGAAAAACTCGATGAATTGACATCGATTGGAAAACTACCAAATGATGCACGAGTTGGAGTGAATGCTGATGACGGACTATAAAGTTTTTTTAAAGAAATATTGTGAAAGGTTTCGTCAGTTACTTCAAATACAATTAATTTACGAAGAAAATTTATTCATAAAAGTTTGTCTGGGTGTGATACATTTTTTTTTTTCAAGAACAGCTCGGTTTGTTATCTTTCATGATTGTGAAATATAGCTATTGAAGGCAGAAGACATGAAGACTAGCTGTCTTTAACCAAAGATGTTTGAGTTCCATCTGTTACGTTAAGTGGCATAATATAATGAGGAATATTGAGTTTAGGCGTAGTGTTAGGTAAGGAGGGTAAGTGAATCGATGAGAGTGTGAAGCTATATCGATTGAGATGGCTACGACACGTGTCGGGCGTGATAAGCCACGGGCTTCCTCGTAGAGCAATGTTGGCTGATATAGTATAAGTTTGGAAAAGACTAGGAAGTGGTTAAATGAAAAAGGTGGAATCAATCCATGAAGTCTTCGAGTGTCAGTTTGAGGTGTGTAGTTCACTGACTGGTTGAGGACTTCAAGGTGAAAAGAAACAGTGGCTGGAAATTACATGTGATATGGCTCAAAATCGTTCTCAGTGATGGCGCAGATGCATTCACACTTCGTAGTCTATCAGATCCATAAAGTCTTCAACGAAAAAAACAACTGAAAGACGATCATACTGCCCAATATTGATAGGTATTATTGTTCACAATAGAAAATGCAAATCCCCTAGGAGTTCATGTCAATGCATCACATGATGCTGATCGGTATCATTTCATAACCAGGTTCAAAAAACAGATTGGCAAAGCAGTTTTCAGACATGAAAACCACCTGATCTGGTGGTACACAGAAACTAAAAGCTATCATTTAGTGCAACATCCTTACAATAAGAGTTGTTAAGAGAAAAGAGTTGCAAAGTGTGATGTAACAGTTGTCCATTCAGTGACTTCCTTTAGCTGATGAAGGTTTTTCTCTAACGCAAACTACCTTAATGAAATTAGAGCATACCATTTACACACACACACGTAGACATACTTTATATTCTGTATCAATCACAGATAAAGAAAGGCATAATTCAACCATATTGAATTCTCAAGTGTCACTTGGTAGAATGTCACTGTTGAATTTCATCAGGTCGGGCATGTGGAAAAATGCTTTCAGATAACATCAGCTGGCAGTAAGCTTCATGCTTCGAGAATTGGAAGGGGTTACAGAATTCAAGGGTCATTAAATCCCAACCCAAGTGGTTGATTGGATGGTCAACGAATTTGTCTCCGAGCTTGGAAATCCCGAGTTCTATCTATCCTTAGTGGTGGAGCTATATATGCATAACTGCTACTCTAAAGAATTCCAGACGAGGGCGAAACAACTCTCAATTACTCTCATCTGGTTTTCAGTGGATAATCTCCAATTGTGTTATCAAATCACGATCAGTAATGCTTTGAGTTCTCGTCTTTTCCATAAACTACGAGTGGCTTAACAACAGATTCAGTTCAGTAGATTATTCAGGTGTAGAGATTTGATTGGTCACAGGATTTCATCATGGGCTGACATTGGTTAGAGAACCATTGAAAAATCAACAGGGAATTTTGGACACCTGTTTCGTCCTAGTTTAGAACTCTTCATTGTACACACCCACCGCCAGCGTTCGAACCGAGGGCCTTCCGGTTACCAGGCGAGCTCACAAGATATTAAGCCATCGGGATTTGATCCAGAGGCCCATGAAGCTTAACACTTGAATATCAATATGATGCTCACTAGTGACCGGCTCTATTCGGGCAGGGTAGGTGACCTGGGTTCTGGTGATAAGTCGTGACCAGTAGGATAAAGCAGGTCAGGCGTGAGGACTAGTCACTCGCTGCGTATGACACTGTCTAGTGGCCATGTCATCTTGAGAATTCACACAAGTTAGAATTCATGGGCTGGTCACTGTATCGAGCCCCAGTGGCCTTACGTTCTACGATCTCACTCACCTAGTAACCAGAAGGTCCTGGGTTCGAACCTTGGCGGTGGGTACGTGCTGATGAAGAATGCCAAACCAAGCTGTCCAGTACTCCCAGGTTTTCTAATGATTCTCTAACCAATGTCAGCTCATGATGAAATCCTGTAATCAGTAGTTTATTACAGTTGTTTTTTGTACATAAGATGAGGTAGTTACTCTGAAGAACAACAATACAGATGATGACGCTAGGCTGACACACACATGAAGAAATTTCACACTTTCACATTACATAAACGTAAAAAGAGGAGGATTGACTTCGACAAAAAACAGCATGCCATTTTTTATGCCACCAGCATTCCATAGTGGTATCCAATAATCCAAATATTCAACCAATCAATAACAAAATAAACACAACACAGATAATTCCCTTCAAAACTATGCCCGTGCGCGCGTGCCAATTCCCTCAGACACGCACACACACACATACATAGGCGAAGAAATACAGACACATGCATTCCTCTTCGTCAAAATGAACGAATTTAAAAGCTTCATCCTTATAATATTTTTAATTTTTGATTGATATTAAGCCATTCCCCATTATATTTGACGAGTGAAGACTGACAGGATTGGGCAAAAATATCCTATAATAGTACTAGTGGTACTTTTAAAAGTTATAACATGCTCTCACATCTTCCCAAACAAAAAATTACTACTAAAGACGACTAAACAAAACACAACTTTGGCAAAGAGAACAAGACAAAAAAAAGGAAATACCAAACACTGTTGCATACATAAACATACGTACAGACACACAGATGCATACATACACTCAAGTGTATGAATATCTCCCACCTCTCCCCACCCCCACAAAACTGTATGTTTGTACTTCAATTCATAGAATTTTTGGCCTATAATATTATATATTATATTGATAACACATGTAGGCATATATATCATCATTATCTATGATCATTAGCCTTTGGTAACTATGCTAAATGAAACAAAAAACTTAAATAATATTCATCACCATAGGAGGTTATAGCAAATAATGATAATTGAATACTCTAACACTATGTATGCGCAGTATGCACAACTAACTAGTCATAGGACACACACATGGATATTGGCTACTATTAGCGTTATGTTAATTTATCATGACGCGCATTTCATCAATGCACATAATAGAACAAACACCCAACGCGTGCATACATCATTCATTCATTCAAATTCATTACACAGAAATACCTTTCATCACACAACTCTCAACTATGCAATAATGACGACAATAATAACTATAAATAACAGTAATCATGATAGTAAAATTTCTGTATGAGTTTTTTCCATCTTGTATTTTCTCTTCGCCTTTTTTTCCTACTTATTTTGCTTCATTCTTTACTATTTTCTTTAAACCAAAACACAAACATACACGCGTTTACATACAGGCAGACATATGTGTTTTCCTACCTACCTACGCACCCCCTACTGCACACGTTTGGCAGTCAGCCAACTTTATTTGTTTTTTGTTATACTTTTTTTGTTTAGTAATAACAGTTCTAAGCCAAAGCTTATCATTATTACTACTATTACTATTATTATTATTAATCTATTTGCATGTCTGATAGCCAGGTCAAAACTAGTCGGGAAAATTTAGCCAATCGCGAGGGGATTAGGCATAAAAATCAATATATTACGCCAATACATTAAATAGGCTGGAAAGTAAAAAAAAGCAAGTTGGATATACTTTTAACCAATCAGAACCAAGTATAAATTATTATTATTATCATTATACTTTTATTATTTCGTTATATATATATATATATTTTCCATTTTTGAATGTTGGCAGAGTATTATTATCAATTGCGTTGTAAGAAAGATTGATTGGTGAATATGTGTGTGTGTCTGCGTGGATGATTTAATTTCCGACAGACAAAAGAAATTTAATTGTAAAACGAACAACGTTGCAATCAGTAGGGTAGTTTTTTTATATTTAAGACAAAAACTAAGGGATCTTGGAAAGTTGTAATAAAGTTACACATCTATATAAAGACTAACTTGGTTGTACTCAGAAGCTAGTTTAGATTTAAGAGTAAGTGATTTTGAGGTGGTTGTGTTCTCTGAGCTGGATAGTTAGTTTGCGAAGCTTCATCGCCCTGCCTACTAGGCGACATTCTTCAATTTGAAGTATGCGCTGAAGATGCCGCCTAGTAGGAAGATGAAAGCTTTGCAAACTAAATATCTAGCTCAGAGAACACAACCACCTCAAAAGTATCCACCTGAGCTACAAATCTTCTCTATCATATCTAGAGTAGATGATTGTTTCAACGAAGAACCGTTATGATAGACACTGATACGACTGATTGGCCTGTAACTAAACACAATTGTTGTCAATCTGATTATCATTCGATGAAGCTAGTGTACATCTTATTACTCGGTGTGTCTCATTTTACACAAGTGATCGCTAATCCATTGAAGGCATCATTATTACCAAGGTCTTAATATTATACTTTTTTCTCTCCTTAATTGACTGAGTTTTTAACACATAGAACTATGCAAAGAAGTGTGGTAATTCAAGTTACTACACTTCATATAGCACATAAAAAAGTAGAGGAAAAAAGAGATTGAAAGAAACTACAATGAGCAGAAATGTTTACAGGAGAAAGATTGGTAACAAGGAGAGAAACATTAGGGGTTTTAACAGACTTTGGAGATTGCAAGTAGTATAGGTAAATCTGCGTTACTAAGATCAATTTTGAGTCATAACACCAACAACGTCTAGAGAACTTCACAGCCAAACAGCCTAAAACTGCTTCCCTACGTATGTAGCTGGCTTATACCAACAGTTTTATATTTCATTGATCGATGCCTTGTTTTGGTCTGACCACCCCTAACTCTTCTCTAACATAATGAATCCCATATCAGCTAACATTATCGCCGAGACAGAGGATGGCTTGGCATGAGTAACACACATA